ACATGGCCGTCCCCTTGCTGGGGATCGGATCCCATGAGGGAGAAAGGAGACACAAGAAGGAAAGGGCTAAGACCACCATTCAAATGTGCTGCTGTTGAGGCCCCCCTGCTGCTGCTGCTGCTGCTGCTGCTGCCGTTGCTGCTCCTGCAGTCCACGGAGCAGGGCCCCACATAACTCCGTCCATGAGACGCCTTTAATATGTAAGGAAGAATACTAGAAGATTCGTAACACTGGAGGCAGCAGCAGCAGCAGCAGCCGCTGCAGCAGCAACAGCAGCAGCTGGGGGGTGGTGAGGTCGTTCGGGTACAGCTGGGGCTGAATATGAGACGGGCCCAGGGGGCCCCCGGGGGCCCCCCTCTTATTTTTGGGTCTTCCTTAGCAGCAAAAACATTAAATTTCTTTAACAGCAGCAAGAGCAGCAGGAGCAGCAGCAACGGTAGTTCCTGTGTTCGAGCCTCGTCAGTTGTAACTGCAGCGGCTGCTGCTGTTGCTGCTGCTGCTGCAGGAGCAGCAGGCCGAGGGAAAGATTCTTCTTTATAGAGCTGTCCTTATTAAGGACAGCTTTATCGTTTCTTCTTAGCCTTGTGTGCATGCATTTGTCTGAATAGCAGCAGCAAGGGCAGCAGCAAGGGCAGCAGCAAGAGCAGCAGAAACAGCACGACCAACAGCAGCAGCAAGACCGACAGCAGCAGCTGCAGCAACAACAACATTGAGACAATCTTGCAGCATCTACCCAAATTTTGCAACTACACCGCAGAGAACTGTGGCAGCAGCAGCAGCAACAGCAGCAGCAGCGGGAGCAGCAGCACAGCAGCACGAGCAGCAGCAGCAGTGGCTGCTGCTGCCGTCTCGAGGATGTCTGTGGCATGTGTTTGCTACGTAGGCCGCCAGGCAAGTCCTTAGTCACCTCTTGTGTCTCTGCTGCTGCTGCTGCTGCTGTTGCAGCAGTTGCTGCTGCTGCTCTACCCTGCTGTGCTGTGCCCGTCTGTATCTGCTGCTGTTGCTGCTGCTGCTGCTGCTGCTGCTGCAGAGCGAGCCACTGTGCTTCCGGGTGTATGGAGACACCGAGGAGCTTCCTATGCAATTTGCTGCTTATGCTGCTCTTGATGTTATAGACGAACGCCGTAAGGCACACACCCTGCTGCATCTGCTGCTGCTGCTGCTGCATCTGCATCTGCTGCTGCTGCTGCTGCTGCAATACCTGTTGCTCTATGAGCTCTACAGCAGTACCTGAATCAACATCTGTTGCTGCATTATTCTCCTGTATTTGTGTGTGTGTGTGTGTGTGTATATGCATGCAGTATCTGCAGAGCAGCAGCCGGGGGCCCCTGGGGGCCCCTCTGGTGGTGATAGTTATATAGGGTACATTTGTCCATCATTAGGTACCCTAAAAGATTATTCTTTATTTGGTTATGCAGCACCAACAGGAATTAAGATTATTGTTGCTCTTTTTATTAAGGCAGCAACACAAGAACAAGAACTTAGAGCTGTAAGCAGCAGCAGCAGCAGCAGCAGCAGCAGCAGCAGCAGCAGCAGCAGCAACAGCAGTAGTAGTAGTAGTAGTAGCAAAGGAGCAGCAGCAATAGATGTAACAGCAGCAGCAGGAGACTAGCAACCAACTAGCCAACTCCATAGATAGCGCAGCAGCAGGCTAGACGGAGAGACCCACTGTTGCTGCTGCTGCTGTGTTTTTGCTGCTGCTGCTGCTGCTGCTGCTGCTGCTGCAGTTTTTTAAGAGGTTGCATCGTCTATATGCTGACGCTGTATCTAATCCTTTCTTTGTTGGGACAATCGAGACACCTCGATTCATTAGCCAACTAGGTAAACCCTAAACCCTAAACCCTAGACACTAAACCCTAAACCCTAAATCCTAGACGCTAAACCCTAAACACTAATTTGTACAGATTGAGGCACATTCACGGGTGTCTGGGACAGTCATATACAGCAGCTGCTGCAGCAGGGTTTAGGGTCTAGGGTTTAGTGTCTAGGGTTTAAGGTTTACGAGGGTTTAGGGTTTAGGGTTTACGATTGTTTAGGTTGTGGGGTTTGCGAGCAGACGCGATTGTTCAGCACTACACCGTCCGCCTCGAGTCTCCTTAGAGATACATGCAGCACAAGAGGTAGGTGTGCAGCAGCAGGGAACACCTACTGCTGCTGCTGATGCTGCTGCTGCACGAGCAGCAGCAGCAGCAGCAGCAGCGGCAGTAGCAGTTCTGCCGTTTCTGTGTCTCCTTTCTTATGTGTCTACTTTTTGTTTGTCTCTCCTTTGTTTATGTGTCTCCTTTAGTGTCTCCTGCTAAACCCTAAACCCTAAACCCTAGTTGAGGGGGGGAAGGAGGAGATCTTTTGTCTCGCGAAGGACTAACAATACTACTATCTTGTTATAAGGGTTTTGTTTTATTTCTTGAGGGTTTAGGGTTTAGGGTTTAGGGTTTGGGGTTTATTGGGTTTTTTTCTAATAGAGTTCATTAGGGTTTTGTATACAGTCCTTATAAGGGTCCATTAGCCATCATTTGCTAGGGTTTAGGGTTTAGGGTTTCTTATACCTATCAGCTAGCTAGGGTTTATTAGGGTTTAGGGTTTAGGGTTTAGGGTTTAGGGTTTACTGCCAATCGATGCTACTGACGACTTATTAAAATTTAGTTATAAGGAGACAAAAGGAGACAGACACAGAGACAAAACATTAATAATTTAATTAATTAATTTAATTAAATAAATAAATAAATAAAATAAATAAATAAATAAATAAATAAATAAATAAATAAATAAATAAATAAATTGTTTATAGAGGAGATATTTTAATTCTCCTTATTGTATACCAACACATAAATAACCAAAAAAAAAGCAACAAACAACTTAATTAATTAATTAAATTAATTAATTAATTAATTAATTTAATTAATTAATTTAATTAGTTAATTAAATTAATTAATTAATTAATTAACTAAATAAACAAGATGGCTAATTGCTGCCCTTTGTGCAAGACAGCAACAGGAGCACAACTAAGAGAAACAATAACATGTGCAGTAATAACAATAAATGCATGCAATAAAGGCAAATAAATAAATAAATAAATAAATAAAAAAATAAATAAATAAATATATTTATTTATTTATACTATATGCCTTAATTCCTCTAATTGTTGCCCAACTCCCCTAGTAAGGAGAACAGCAACAGGAGCACAACTAAGAGAAACAATAACATGTGCAGTAATAACAATAAATGCATGCAATAAAGGCAAATAAATAAATAAATAAATAAATAAATAAATAAATAAATATATTTATTTATACTAGATGCCTTAATTCCTCTAATTGTTGCCCAACACCTCTTGTTAATAGTACAGCAACAGCAGCACAACTAAGAGCAACAGTAACATGTGCAGTAATAACAATAGCAGTTGCATAATAAAAGAAATTAGTTTTCCAATCTGTACAACCAGCAAGTGTCTCCTCAATAGTATTAATAGTACTAGTAGCTGTATCTATAATTGTATCCTTAATTGTCTCCTCCTCTCCTCCTCCTCCTCCTCCTCCTCCTCCTCCTATACCTATACTTATACCACCTCCTCCCTCTATATTATTATTATTATTATTATTATTATTATTATTTATATCTGTACTTCATAGCCATATATCCCTAGAGGAACGAATAAATACTACCATACCCCAACCAGCTGTACATATATCTCCTATAGCCATAGACATTGTTACTAATGATGCCATTGCCCATTCCCTCTCTGTACCCCAAGACTCACAAGATAATAAAGAAAAATAAAATATCATGGCAAATGCTACAGCTGTATATGCATGCATGCACACACACACACACACACATATATATATATATTTATATTTATTTATTTATTTATTTATTTATTTAGTTTATTTATTTATTTATTTATTTAGTTTATTTATTTATTTATTTATTTATAACAAGATAATAAAGAAAAATAAAATATCATGGCAAATGCTACAGCTGTATATGCATGCATACACACACACACACACAGACACATTTATATATATTTATTTATTTATTTATTTATTTAGTTTATTTATTTATTTATTTATTTATTTATTTATTTATTTATTTATTTATTTATAACAAGATAATAAAGAAAAATAAAATATCATAGCAAATGCTACAGCTGTGTATGCATACACACATACACATATATTTATTTATTTATTTATTTATTTATTTATTTATTTATTTATTTATTTAGTTTATTTATTTATTTATTTAGTTTATTTATTTATTTATTTATTTTATTTATTTATAACAAGATAATAAAGAAAAATAAAATATCATAGCGGAGGGTACACAGCTGTATACCGATATACGTACACATATACATATATTATTAATTAATTAATTAATTAATTAATTAATTAATTAATTAATTAATAATTAATTTAGTTAGTTTTAGGGTTTACAGGGTTTACGGTAGGGTGGAGAGAGAATATAAAAGTGTATATTAGTGTATATCAGTGTATATTAGGGTTTAGTGTATATTATTAGGGTTTAGGGTTTACAAGGGTTTAGGGTTTAGGGTTTAGGGTTTATCCGTACCTGAGCATACGCCGCAGTACGTTAAATTATTAAGAAGTGGTATACAATATAAAAGTGTTTATTAGTGTATACCAGTATATATTAGTGTATAATAATGTAAATTCGTGTAAATTAGGGTTTACGAGGGTTTAGGGTTTAGGGTTTATGCATACCTGAGCATACTGCGCAATAAGTAGAATTATTAAGAAGTGTTACACAATATAAAAGTGTATAATAGTGTAAAATAATGTAAATTAGTGTATAATAGTGTAAATTAGTGTAAATTAGTGTAAATTAGGGTTTAGGGTTTAGGGTTTAGGGTTTAGGGTTTAGGGTTTATGCATACCTGAGCATACGGCGCAATAAGTAGAATTATTAAGAAGTGGTACACAATATAAAAGTGTATAATAGTGTAAAATAATGTAAATTAGTGTATAATAGTGTAT